TGTAAGTTTGGTCTCACAACCGTAGCTTCACTAACATTCCCAAATCCTCCAATTTCAATATAATTTTGCATGAACTCTAGGGAGTTAGGGTTTTAAAGAAACGCCGAATTCCATGTGTACATGTACAATGTACATACATATACCGGTATATTACAGAAAATAGTATCTACATGTAGAGTATGCCCAAGCCTGGCTGTGGCAATGTTGCCAGGCTAGTTTGAAGTTCACAATTTTGTTACTGTCTTGCATACATGTACATGTTCCAGTATGTACATGTCGTAGCGTTAAAAGTGTTCTTTTTGAAAGTCTTAATATCCTGTCAAGACAGAATAGCTAAACTCCCAGTTTCTTTAGGCTTGCTCTCCGATCAAGCAGAATCTGTCCACTGTTGGATTTTTTTAGGATGAGCGGAGCAGAGTTTGGAAGTACCGGTACCTGTCCATATGAGTACACTGTTCATGTACCTACAAACTTTTCCTGCTTTGGATGAAATGGATTAGACCATTGAGACGTGAACATGTACTTGAAATCTCCAAAGTTCAACTTTCAAATAACAGATTGGGGAATTTTCAAAAGTCTATCCTCACCAACTTTGTCTTTACAATTGAAGAAGGACACTGGTGTGCACGTGCATGATGTAACCCAAGCAGTGATCTGATGTTTCTCACTTCCCTCCTTGATCACCTCACCAGGGAAGTTCAGATACAGGGGGGTGGGTTCTGATAACAAGTGGTGACCTCACAGGTAGAAACAGGGCCGTCATGCAAACCTGGGAAAGGGGTTATCACCTAGGTTTGTCGTGAGTAGATCCAAAATGAAAAACAGTCCCGAGTTCTCACAGATTGTTCAGTTGCATAGCTTGTGGGGAATGAGCATTTTATTTTCATGTACTGGCTTATGAGCAGAAGTTGTCAGATTTATTTGCTCAAATGTTTCATCCTCTTCAGCATTCTGCACAAATGAATTGATCTTCAGAACGGATTGAAATTGTTGGCCTACATGTACATGTACCTGTAGTTAGAGGGTTTGTTTCTTTTAGATTGTTTTATTTGAACTTCCATGACTCTACCAGTATCAGTACATAAATATGTAAGTTGTCAAGAAGCTCCCCAGTCACTTACAATGTAAGTCACACTACCGGTTTGTGCACAGTGCACTGTACATTGAACATTGAGAGATATCTGGCAAAACCATGAAAACCTGAAGGTGTTATCACTCAGTATCATATGGTGTGCATGACAGTCATCGCCAGAATAGGCAGAAAATTATTACATGTCCATGTATGGTGATTAAAGATTAAAAACAGATTTTAGTTTCTTTAAATCCCAGTTTTTACCTCACGCATAAACTTGTTTTAACAGTGAATATTAAAAGTCTGTACATGTTCTCATTTTTAGTGCTCACATATAAAGGCAAATGTATTTGTTATGTAGGCTCATTAATATAGACTTTATTTTGAAGATTAAAATGCACGGTTCTCACATGTACAGGTACATTTCCTGCATCCCTTAATAATCTACACTCTCATGAAAATAAGTTACATGTTGTGAATCTGTCAATGGTATGCAGTGCATTGTTACCCTATGTTGGCCTGTTTGATATAGCATGAGATGGAATACAGAAGAGATAATGCGAATGGATAAAAATACTTCATGATTGATGTGTTTTGGGATTAGTGTTGAAAATTCTAGATTTTCTGGGGGTATGGACCTCACACCAAACTGGGAATAAACCTAGAATTTACATGTACATCCTGAAACTCAAAAGACTAACTTGTTGCATGAGAGCAGCTTGAGACTTTGGGCATGTACATGTACACGCCACGCCACGACCGCCTGAACTTTTTTGTCAGATTGTTGGGATAGGATGGCCTATTGCCCTCTGTGTGGGCCCCTTGAATTTGTTTGTCTGGTTTGACAATGTGGATGGGGTCCATACATAAATGGCTTTCATCAGTAGGCTGTTGATCTGGTTCATGGGGCTTACATGTACATGTACGTGTACACAATGCTGGCCCCATGAAATCTACCGTATACGTAAAGATTTCTATCACTTTTCCAAACTCCTTCTGAAGCATGTGTGCATTGTGAAAGTTTTATTTGGAACAAATAACATGAAACTTGAAACATGGTCTTTTCTGCTGACCTACATGTACACATACATGTACACGTATTGCATGGAATCCATGGGTACACACAATTTTTCAATATTTGTTGGGGGAAAGTCTAGAGGAACATGATGCTTTTTGCATGAGCAAGTAAAATGATAGATTGATTACTTTGTGTTCCTGGAGATAGGCAATCCTTCAAAGTGGCATCATGATCTTTAAAGCAGCCACACCTCCAAACAGAAGATGTGAATTCATCCTCCTGATGTGTGGTACCGGTGCATGTAGGTCTTCATGGCTTGAGTGCGTACAAACTTGCATTAAGGTACATGTACATAAGGTGTGGCCAGATGTGATTCTGGGGAAGCAGGAAGTTGTCGTGCCTGGGATCTGCTGGAGGTTGGGCCAGAGGCCATTTACAGGGAAGGTTTATCACACTTCAGTGTTACAATGAAGACCCCATCAACCCAGCTTTGTATATACCTGGCTGCCTTAGGCTTGACTTTTCCCGTGAACTTTGTTCTGTAAACGTGTTGGTATGTCACCTAGGGAACATTAAATGCATAATTAGAGTGAGTGACGTGTTTATGTAGGGTGCAAAGGACAAGCAGCAGTTTTTATGCTTACCATGTGTGCACACCATAGGAACACCGTGACCATGAGCCAGGAAGCATTGATAATTTTCTGAACTTACTTGTGTTTTGTTTAACACTCAAATTATGCACTTGTGTTCCTTTGTGTACATACATGCATAGACCAGAGAATAGAGTTGAGCTTTGTATGAGCTTTGTGTGGACTAAGCCAGGTCCTCACAAAGCTTAGTCCCTCTCTGACAAAAAGTTGTTTTAAGGGCAGTTTGGGGGTAGTTTTTGCACACATAAATGAAGAGTAATTGTCAAGGAAACCCTAAACAAATACAGCTCAAAGATAGTATCCCCAGTGTTAGAAAAATGTGTGTTTTGTTTACTGCATGAAAACAAAAAAATTTCCCATGCTGGATACATGTACCGATTCATTAGAGATGTGTGTTTATGGTGCCGGTATACATGTATAGATCTGCGTGTATGTATCGTACATGAATGTGTACAATACATAGATCTACACTATACATGTAGATGGTGGGCTCTGACCAACTGACCAGATCTCCACTTGAGTTTCATTTGAATTTGAAAAAAGCTATCAGCTCTTGATTCTGGTTGATCTCTGAGGTTGACTTACTGATAATGATGGCAATACCTTGGAGAAACCATAGCCAGTTTCTAGTGTGTGCTATTTGTTTAGGGACCTGTTTCAATACTCTGAAGTGACTTGGGCGACTCCATAGGCCTGTGCCGGTAGATATCCTCATTTTGTCGAGTTGCATTTGCACACTTCAATAATGGTGCACATGTTGCAACATGACCTTTCTGGAGAATTTTTTGCTTTTCATGAGGCAGTCAAAAAGCCTTTGTGCAAATTTTGGTCAACTTGACATGGGAGCTCTGTGTGGCTCTGGGCTTGCCTCATTTATTGTGATGAAATTAAGAAGCCATACCAGAAAAAAACTCACTTGCCTGATGTGTATTGGAGCGTCATCATCATTTCACCATTGGAGTATCATTCACAAAGTTGCATGTGCAACTTTAAACCATTCTTGTGCCATTTATCCAAATAAAGAATTCAATGTTGCATGGCTGATCTACATACAGGTACAATTAGCCTACATATGCCCCTGATTCACTGGGTGGAATTCCAATGTCTAACCACAGTAACCTCACTATGCTGGACATTATGACAAAACTCCCAATTTGTGTATAAAAAAAAGTTGCAGATGGCGTACTATCTTAGAACACTGGCCGGTATATGACAGTGTGAACATTATGGATTTTATACCATAAAAGCGGGAATGCAAAAAGAATGTTGTTGGGCCACAAATGACCATATGGCTGTGCAGTATATCATCTGTCACCAACAAAATTAATCATACTAGTAGTCGAGTCTACATGTAATGGACATGTACCTGCATAAAGGGAAACTTTATAGAGGGTTGATGGGAATTTCTGTTTGGGACACATCTGTCAGTTCTTTGCTGAAATGACTCAGTGTATGTCTCATTCCCTTAGACACATTTTTGTTGTGTCGTGAAATGTATAGTTTGTAGAGACTGTGACTGCATGGACAGAATGCTTGAATCCTCAAAGGCATGGGTCATAGGTTGGAATGCTACCAGTAACTTATCAGATCAGGTTTTTCTGTTCCATGCAAAAATGTGGATTTGGGTGAATTGTTCAGAAAAAGTGGGAGCTGAACACATCAACATAAGCATTTTTTTTAGAACGGGAAATAGCTGTATCTGAAGAATATAGAGCAACATTTTAGGCCATGCAAAAAGTTCATGGAGTATATACCGGCATGTCAAACCAGTCACAGTAACAGATGACTGGATGGCAGGTCCCACATTGTTTGTGATAAAGCACAGTGTATCTGTTAAAGAAAAAAAAGAAGAAACATGTTGGTCTCTGGGTCCCGCTTCATAAGTGACCAATCAGTTTAGATTGTGGAAATTCATCTACATGTAGTTGAATAACATATGTATATGTACAGTACCAGTACAGCACATAATGTACCAGCACCTGTAGATCATGGATACTCGTAGGTGCTGATGCCTGTTTTTAAATAAATGAAAAAAGGAAGAAAGGAAGACGTCCAATTTTTAATGGTTTTATGTATGGTACCTTATACGAAGAGTCTCTGCTTAATGTATACCAGCAAATTCTGTGGTGACAAATGCAAAAATCTGTGCGAAGTGTAGGGATTGTGTTCAGGCTCTGTGTAAAACTGCACTTTTCACTTCTTTCTGAAGTGTTACATTGTTTTCCACCTCTCTCTCATTCTGTCCCCCTCCACCTTGCAGACAGTACAGATGTAGTTGATGGCAAACGCAAACTGATCCTGGGTCTGATATGGCTCCTCATCCTGCACTATTCCATCTCCATGCCCATGTGGGAGGATGAAGGGGAGTTTGACGAGGATGCCCCCAGGCAGAGACCCCCAACGGCCAAGGAGAAGCTGCTGGGCTGGATCCAGAACAAGGTCCCCGAACTTCCTATTAAGAACTTCACTAAGGACTGGAATGATGGCCGGGCCATTGGCGCCCTTGTTGATGCCTGTGCACCAGGTTTGTTGACCAAGATTACATTTTGACCGGAAGTTACTTGTGGGGGGAGGCATAATTGTATTTTTAGGGGTCAAAAATGTGGAAATTTATGGCCTTTCTGAAGGGTGAAGCTAAATTTAGGTTGATTTGACACCCTTTTAAATGGAAGGGAAGAGAAAAAGTCTCCCCAAATTACTTTTGGTTGTTATTTTAAAAAAACAAACCAATGTGCTACTTGAAGGAAGCATAACCGGTGTTGCCCGATTCACTCCCCCAATCTGTCAGTGACTACAAGTACCGGTATTTCTACTTGTGGGACAGGGTACCTGCACATTTACAAGAGAAATTAACTGCTAAATGTGCATACGTACATATACAGTCCTTCAGAGTCATCATGACCTGTGTAAGAAACAAATATCTCATTCTTCATCCGGCTGCATGTAATTTTAACATTTGGTGATCTACATGTACCATACTCAGCTCTAACAAAATCCTTCCAACATGAGATACAGCATACATTAACAGTCTCCCTGTCCAGCCATACCTGTACTTTCCAAGAGGTCAGTCAGCTGTTACCCCATCTCCCATTTTCTTTCCCTTGATTTTTCCTCAGGCCTTTGCCCAGACTGGGAAGACTGGGATCCCAAGGATAACCTGAAGAATGCGAAGGAGGCCATGCAGTTGGCCAAGGACTGGCTGGACGTACCCCAGGTAATGGACCAGTGTACAGACTGAGGGCAAGTTTGGGCATCAACTACAGTTGGACAGCTATTCAGTGGATTTTTGGCCAGGCCAGTGCACACTGTGGTCACGCTCAAATGACCCTAGTCCAACTGTTTGGTAAAATCTCATTATCACCCGCATTTTTCCATTGGTTGCAGCATTGTAGCATTTGTGGTGAATATCATCTTGCTCACTTATTTTAGTGTAATTGGTTCTCTGAATACTGACAAGTGAAATTGGCTAGAAAAAAGCATGGCCGATACCCTCATTATTGTGAATAAGAAACACAAATGTGCTGTAAACTTTTTATCAACTGGATTATCCTAAAATATGCAAATTATAAATAGCATTATACTTTGCTTTTGAGAAGAATACTGAAAGGATGGAAATCTAAGGCCTTCCTGTTTAGTTCTGTTTATTGAAATGAAAAATGAGCATAATCATCATACTTCTTTAAAGACCAAGAGTTCTCTTTTGTATTTGATGACCACAAGATGTTCACTTCCATGGCAAGTGTTGTACATGTACAAGACAAAATATAGCTTTAAATTTCACAACGAGCTTTGCTCATGATGCATTTGTAAAAGTAAATTGTAAAAGAAAAGCAACTAAGATTAATAGATTTCGGAATGAATTGTCGTGGAATTTTACTTCAATTTCATGTAATGTTTTACCTAGACTTTGCATTTCCCCGTAAAGTCATAGACTAAGAATTGGGAAAAAAACTTGAAAGAATGAACGTTAAGTTTTGAATGAAAGATTCTTCACTGCATAAGAAGAAAGTGTATGTGGCATTCTTTGCACACATAGGCTTAAATTTGTTCATTGTAATGCATTTTACTGTCCACAAAGTATGAAATACAAAGAAACAGCTCTTGCGTGGTCCCTGTTCTTTCAAACTGTGATGTCTGTTTCCTTCTTGAAGCTGTTGGAACCCAAGGATATGTGCAACCCTAAAGTGGACGACCTGAGTGTCATGACCTATCTGGCTGAGTTCCCCAAATGCAAGCTGAAGCCAGGTGCACCCCTGCGGCCACGCTCCAATGCCAAGAAGGTTGGTGACATGGACGGCAAAAGTGGTACTGCAAGACTGCCTCACAGAGCCTTTTTCCAATAGCATTTCATTTCTTTTTCTGGCTGACGAGGCTGTGAAGTAGAAAATCTGTGAAAGTGCAAAGAGCCTGTAGTTGTGACGGTAGGGAAGCATATTGCACTTCAGAAGTTACATGTACTAGAAAAGCCTCAAGGCGCCTTTCCATTGGCACATTTTCTGTGTAAATTACTGAGATTGTTCATTGAAATTGTACAGGAATGAAATGTAGACTCTGTCCACCGTAGAGAATAATAGGCAAATGTACGGGCTCATATATAACAGCCTATGTACATGTACCAGTACATGTATGTGCAGTTTTAGCTGAGGCATTATGAGAAGAGCAAAGTTGTAACATTTTGGTACTTTTGAATGCCAAATGTACTGCCACATATTAAGACCCTTTTGTGTGGGTGAAGCTGCAAATCACAATGGACAGTAGCTACACATGTACATTTACATGGTACACGTACTCACGTACCAAGAGAAACTGCAGATGTGGGCAATCGGAATCTTGTATGAACTCAATTTTAAGTCAGAAGTTTAAGAAAAGTACTCATTATGTTCTTTCCCAGTACTTTTCGAATTCTTCTGTCCCAAAACTGAAAGTACCCATTTTATGTATCAAAATTTTCAAGCTTTTCCCTGTAATAATGGCTACTGTCTTTGTGACTGTTACTTTGTGCTGAGTTAACAGGTCAATATTCAGTGGTTAAAAACAGGATGTGAAAGACACTGGTACATGTACTTGACTAAATCTGTGAGGTATGATGGTCAAAACCTGGCCCAATGAAGGAACAGTCTGTTATTTTCACTGCTTCCCAGTAAAAAAGTCCTGGGTTTTCTGTTCTGAGCATTTTAACCCTTCCACTTAGACATACTTTGTGTATGCCTTGAAAGAGGCAGTTTTATTATACACAATCCCTTTGATAGCTGTATATACATGTAGTAATTAGAGCTTGAAATCAGAGCTGTCATTTACAAGGTGCCTGTTTTGTGATCAAAGGTGCGTGCCTATGGCCCAGGACTGGAAAAGGGCAATGTCATCTCTGTCCCTACCAACTTCACCGTGGAGACGTTCTCGGCTGGGAGCGGCAAGGTGGAGGTGATCATCAAGGACCCCAAAGGCAAGCTGGTCACAAACGAGTGCAAGTACAACAGTGACAAGAACAAGACGTACACTGTGACCTACACAGCTAAACTCCCCGGCACCCACACGGTATGACGCTTGCATCAAGATGGCAAACTGGTGATGGGGGGGATGGGGGATTAGACAGGGTTAACTCGGTAGAGATGATTTAGTCACGTCCCTGATGTGCTACAGTTAAGTGATGAGGCATACATTTTTCCTGGAAGATGTGTGAGTCAAGATCCCTCCAGACAGTTAATGATTTGAATGTATGAGGGATTTTTTTTTTCATTTAGAGGCAGACTTATTCATGTGTGAAAGACACAAGAAAAATGTGACAGTGTAACACAAGATGCTCTTTCCCCCAGAATAAGAAGCATTGCAATCAATGAAATTTGTGTCCCATGCTTTTGTGGTTAAAATACAGCAAAATCATGAATAAAAAAGTCATTCCTTATTACTTGTCTGATAGCCCTACATTCTAAAAGCTTTCCCGCCGGCTCAGTGCATCGAAGATGAAATGTTACAAAAGCCGGGCATGAGTTACATGTATCATAAAAGCTAACAGCCTTTACTGCTTACTTCCAGGTCATGCATTTATCCACAGTGCAGTTGTGTTTCATTTAAAGTTATGTCGGGTCTCTCGAACTGAGCCCATTAGCACCTTGAAATCTTGAAACCATTAGTACTCCTGTCTGGATTCAGGAGCTATAATGGATTGCGGATATCAAAGTTAATGAAATACATTGTTTCTCTCTTGTCAGTTGTATATAAATTGACGTGTGGTCTTCAGGTTCTAGTGAATCATGAATATCAGAATTGATGAAAGTTATTTCTTTCATCCTTTACTGGGAAATATATTTGTAAATGAACAATGCTCAGAATACAGCAAATTGTAAGCATCAAAGCCGGTTAAATGCATTTCTCTCTCTGCAGATCGAGGTCACTTTCAAGGGACAACAGATCCAGAAGAGCCCCTTCACCGTTGAGATTGGCGACATGAAGGGTGATGCATCCAAGTGTTCAGCCAAGGGTCCTGGCTTGGAGCCGACTGGGCTAATCGTCAACCAGCCTACCAACTTTGAGATCTTCACTGCAGGTTATAGGCACCATGCCAATAAATGGGACCTCACAAGCTCGTCCTTGGAAGAAATTGAAAACTTAGATCTCAAAATAACACTTGCCAAAAAATCCATTCCCAAAGCTTTTTTCTGCTACCTTCTAATTCACTGGAGTTCTTTATTTTGATTTATACCATGACTTTTAACTCAGAGGGTGTTTGAATTATGATGTGTCCCAATCCAATAAAATGACTTGTAGGTTACCAGAGCTGCAGGCCCTTAAACATCAACTGTTGGAGGAGCTGTCTTCATTTCCATGCACACACTGTCCATTTTCATGAGACTTAATTCACTAAGCGATCATGGAGCTCTCATGCAGACTAAAAAAATGAGTGACAATTCCCTTAGGTACTCCTTGTACGGTCACAGGTATTACAGAAAAGCTGACTGTAGGAAGAAAAGAGATGAAAAGAAAAAGTGTGCAAGAAAAGGTGACAATATAGTACAGCAACAGCATTATGGTAAGTGTACACTTCTTTAAAGTTTTGTCTTTTTTGTCTCTTACAGGCGCTGGTGCAGGTGCTCCCACAGTAACAGTGATTGACCCTAATGGTGACACCACGACCTCAAGCGTCAAGGTCACCGAAAAGAGCATAAATGTGTTCTACTGCGAGTACCTCCCAACTGTTGTCGGAAGCTACACCATCGAGATCAAGTTTGCTGGCCAGCATATCCCCAAGAGCCCCTACAAAGTCAAGATTTCTTTCCGTGAGTTCTTTCTTTCTTTTTGTGACAACTTGCTCTTTGTTTTGATTTTGGGATCAGCTTGTTTGAAAAGCCTTAAGTGAAGTTGTTACCCATTGATATTTAAAACCTTTGCGTGACTTTTGTGACCAAATATAGATGAACATTTTGCTAATATAAATCTTATTCGAGCGTCTAAGGCAAATTTGCCACCTTGCTGTTTTTCAGAGTATAATAGACAGTGCAGTCATACATTCTTTCTGTATTGTGTAATCCGCACCATGCAAAGCCTTAATTCATATTTAGATTCAGAGAAGCGTGTATATTTAATAAAATAGACATCTTGTGATATCTTATGGAAGCTCATCAACCAATTACAGGGCTGGACTGTGAAAGTTAAATGCATTTATTGTGAACTTTCCACTCTTAGTTGTCAATGAGAGCATTTTAATGACAGCCTTTGCCAGCAGTCTTGGGTATAGTGAACACTGGCAGTAGTCTTAAAAGTGGCCGCTGATCCATGTTCTTCTCTTTCTGCCCTCTTGCAGCTTTCAACCCCCAGAGGGCATTTGCCTACGGGCGTGGCATCCAGAGCAAGGGCCTGCGAGTGCGGGAGGAGTGTGTCTTCTACATCAACACCAAGGAAGCGGGCGAAGCTCAGCTGAAAGTTCAGATAATTGGTCCTGGTGAGCCTCAATGTGTGCCAGGGATCCGAGACATTGACGCTGAATGGGGAGCCAACCATGCATGCAGTCCTCAAGTGGTGACAGGACAAAAGAGAAATGAAGTGGGAGTGAAAGAAGGGGTGATGTTGAGAGAATGTCGATGAGCACCACTTTCTTACTCTTTCTCCTTTTCTGTTGAATGCATGCAAATCAAACGCACTCAAACATTGAAATCATAAAGTGTTGTAACGGCAATCCACTCGGAAAAAAGAAAAGAAAAGAGTTTTGTTCATAAAACACAATCATGGAGGTCCAATGTCACAACTGTGAGGGAAACAAAGAGCTTTGTGAAAACATAATGCATACGCAGTGCACACATTGTGTAATGTTGCACTTTGTTGGCTAATGTTATGCAACACATTACAGTGTCATACGTTGTAATGATGTTATTGTTTCTCCTCAAGTATTGTGCTTTCTTTGCATGGTAAACAAAGTATATAACCCAGTTGAAAGCCATCTTTTTCGTTCAAGCCGTGATGACAAGCCTTGTCTCATTTGGTTTGGAGTCTTGAGTTACTCGCAAAAGTGAAAGAGTCAAAACTATTATTCTTCAGTGGTGTTCTTTAAGATCAAACAGAGAGAAGAGTTTTTAGTGAGAAAAGGAGAAGTTGGACTACAGCCATAGAGGTTTGGAAGACCAGAGAGAGAGATAGAAGTTTGTAAATTTATCCAGTCACTTTGACTATAAGACAGACTGGGAGACAGCATCATCCATAAATACTTTGTGTGTGGGTGATTAATATCAAGAAGACTTTGCATCTGACATTGCAGATATTAAAAAAAAAGGAAGGGGGATTCATGTCATTAATGTAGTTGAGCATTACTGCATGAAAACAAGAGCTATTGACAGGAAGTTTCAAATGACATTGGAAGCCGACAGATTACTGCAGCAGTCCCGATATGTGACACAGATATTGAGGTATAATCCTGTATGGGACAGTTGAAGGGCATATACCATCTTTTTAAGTGTTTCTTCAAACACCCTATAATCCTAAATCCTCCCTTTAAATTAAAGTTGTAGTTGACCACCACCATCACATCACCAGCTATACCCCCTTCTACTAACTTATCTGCCTGATTTTTAAAGATCAAAAGAATAGAATTTTCGCATGGTGTGTTTCAATTAATGCTGTCTCATGTATATATCCAAGTAAATCCTAACCTGTGTGTGTCTGTGGGAATGAGTGTGGAAGAGTGTTAGAAAGCTGAAGCACTGTAGTGTTAATGTTGGTTGTCTTGGCTGATGAGGCATGATCTAACAATGTACAGCCACAAATATAACACCAGCATGGGCTGCACAGGGGTGCTTGGAAATTGTGATAGGAAACTGTTTCGATTTTGCGTAATGTTGAAGGAAAAAGCATCATATACATGTGAGTTTTAACCTCAACTTCACTTTGAAATCATTGTTTGTTTTTATTCATTCCTATACAAGAGACAACATTCAAATTTTCGAAAATATCTGTGAAGATTATGGATGAATGTTCTTGGTGTGGCATTGCTGAAATCTGAAAATTGCTCTGGAATATCTAAGTAAAAAAAGGCAATGACAAGTGAAGAAAAGACTTTCAAAAATGGGTCACCTGTGTCATTATTCATCATATTGCTGAAGGTGATCATAGTCATGGTGTGGGACAAATTTGGTAGGAGGTCCTTGAAAAAGGAGTAATCTTTTTGTATAAAACTTTTTACCCCCCCCCCAAAAAAACCAAATTGTGAAATGTTACCTCTTTCTTCAAGACAACTGACATTACTCACTGCAATTGAGTCTGAGTTTCTAGGAACATGTAGCGCACTGTAATTGAATGGATTGAATGCATGGTTTTTTCCATTTAGCACTAAACAATGCCTTGTTGCGGTAACGTTGAGTTCATCCGGATCAACCATCCGAGTTTTCGCGCTGATTCACCCTCTATTATAAAATTAACTCGCATTCTGTCACACCTGCTCATTGGGTCCAAGATGTTGGTAGGGCCATGAGATAAAACTGTGTTCACTTCAATTGTGCAGTTTGTCTCTTGTACCTAGTAATACTGGGCCACAGTGTGCATGTTTTGAAGATTTTTACTTGAAGATGTTACTTGAGAGTGACTACGCACGGTTTTGACAAATTCCCAAATTACTCTATGTTGTGTAAGCATTTCTTCATCAGTATTCCACTTCATCTTGCCTGTTGTTGGGCTCAAGACCCATAGAATAATAATCAGAAAATTATCTGAAGTCCATTTTAAGTACTCCAGGAAAGAGGGGGGGCAGGGTAAAATCTGGCTTGAGGACATGCTCAAGTCATGTTATGGAACTACTCATTTTGAAAGAAAATTATTTGGTACCAGCAAAAGTAGTCAGCCCCTGAAATAGACAGGAATGTCAATCTCATCTCTGAAACTTTACAGCAGTGCTTATGGGTATTGAAGAGAAAAAACCTTCAGCTATGAAACTTTTTCAAATTTTCCTTGATGGATAACAGTCCAGTACCTGCATATACACACTGGGCCACACTGTACATGTACTTACATGGACAAGTATATTGCTGTTGAATACATGTACATGTACTCTGTCAACATTCAAGGACATGGCTCCCTGTGAGTGTATTCATTCAAACCAGGCTGGGTGGTGCATATTCTTTGTACCCTTTCAAAGTGGCTGTCTGAAGGTTACAGGTTGTAAACTGGCCTCAAGGCAGATTTGAACCCCATAGATGCATCTGCCTGTGTGTGCAAATAGCAAGCAAACACCATCTGTGCAACTGGCAGGCCAGCAAAGTGGCATTGCTTGAGCAGTATAGTATTGTCACTAACAATTTATTGATGCCTTTTGGTAGAAATGAATGGACTGAATACTTTTTTCTCTGAGATCTGTGGCGAGCCCAAGGACACTGATATCTGGATATAGTAATTGGCAGAACTGTAGCCAAAAAATTCCACGGCACTCCCTGTATCTGATGATTTTGAAAAAGATTTGGTCAGGGGTTGCTCAGGTTGGTCGGAAGTACGGTGGCCTACACTTAACACTGCAGGCATTTGACTACAGTTTGTGTCATGATTGAAACTCTATATTTTAATCAAACAAACGCCTGTTAATTCACACTGACTCCAGCCCTGCAGACATTCCTTCCCTCCCGTATTAAACCATTTGTTGTGACCATGCTGTATGTTGTGTATGTTTATCATGTTGGTAGTACTTATTATTTGGCATCACGTAATGCATCTCAACTCTGAAATCCAGCTTTGATTGAACTTTGACTGCAAATGAAAAGGCAGTGCATTTTTCGTGCAACAAAACTTTGTTGGTTCATTCTAGGCGGGATCGACGAGCCATGTCAGGTCAAAGACAATGGAGATGGCACCTTCACCTGCTCTTACCGCCCCTTCAAGCCTGGCCGCTACATCATCAATGCCATGTACGGCAAGAAGGAGATCAACAAGGCTCCCTTCACGGTCAACATCGCCCCCGAGGCCACTGGACCGCTGGCCCTGGTCCGCGCCTTCGGGCCAGGGCTGGAGGGTGGCGTGGTAGGCAAGCCATGCAAATTCACCGTGGAGACCAATGGTGCTGTTGGTGCCCTAGGTACGAAGTTTTGTAGGTCACTTATTGTAGATGGAGGCCATGTCCAAATCTTGTGTGTAGGGTGAGGTCTTCCTTTGGTAAATGGATGATGACAGTTGACAAAGTCACAGCTATGGAGACCACTTTATTTGGACAAGACAAGATGCCTCATTTTGAAACTTGTGTTAGAGTTGGTTCTGATTTTTTTATAGGAGAAAAATTTACAAGAAGGGTCAAACTTACAGAGCTTCGAAGAACAGAATTATACTAAGAATAAAAAGGATTTGCCCAAACAAAAAACTGGCTACTGATCCAAAAACATCATGTTCATTGCTATTGACAGGTCTTCTTCCAAATTTTGAACAGCCCATTATTTTGTCCAAGCATACCGTTGGACACAAACTTTGACCCTTGGCCTCTTGTTATTGTTGTAAGATTCAACTGGATGAAGGGGTCCCCAAGGCTGGTTCATCCATGTACATGAAAGAAGAGAATGCGAGTGCGGTTTTGAGAGCACAAAGCTTTTGTGACTGAATTCACCCAGCTGAAATTTGCTCCTCCTGTGACTATTTGCATTGCAAAGTCTGCTGCAGGGTCACAAATTTTCATGTTCGTTTTGTTTGTTGAACTGGCGTTCACACTGCAGTCGTTGATTCTTACTGCATTTTGCAAATTGCAGGAAGAAAATCTTAAGAGATTTGTGTTCGAACTGAGAAATTATATCGTGCCTTCTGATTCTCCTCCCAGCTTAGCTGTAACTTGTCTTGGTTATTGCAGGCTTCTCCATTGAGGGCCCATCAGAAGCCAAGATCGACTGCAAAGACAATGGTGACGGCTCCTGTGAGGTGTCGTACTTCCCTACTGTGGAGGGCGAGTATGCCATCCACATCACATGCGACGAAGAGGACATTGTGCATAGCCCTTACATTGCCCAGATTATCCCCGACAAGGGTGGATTTGATGCTTCAAAGGTACAGATGTGTCGCCGAAAAGACTTGCAAATATCTCTTCCAGTCCAAATTAGACACGGTTTTCTCATTTTTTGTGGGTGGGCCTTCTGCATGATTGGTTTCTTGATTTTCTTGTTGTTAAAGTACACTTTACTTGGGCAGTTAAGTGAAAGCTTTTAGTGATTTCACTCAGGTGCTGTGATTGTTAGTATGTTTTACTTGTTCGGATATTATGTAGTGTACATGTATTTCATTGAAGGGAAGTCTATGGTTTTCTGGGTCTCTTTGGCAAACTAGTCTGCACATAAGACCAATATTGTATGCTGTAGCCAATGTGTACTGTGAGACAAGACAGCTTAAATCCAAAGCCTGAATGCTGCTTTCATTAAGCTTTCTATGTTGTGAAGGATGTTGCAGTACAATAGCTTGAGTGCCTTAAGGCTTGCCTAGCTAGCCTTGCCAGCAGGGTATGGTGAAGCCCAACCCAAGTCTGCCAAGTCCACAGATTCTACTCCATTTTCCTACCAGGTGAAAGCCTACGGACCCGGCTTGGCCAAGGATGGTCTGGAACTGAACAAGCGCACTGAATTCACTGTGGATGCAAAGGCGCCAGGCTGTGGCAAGGCCCCAGTGGGTGTACTCATCCATGACCAACAGGGCAACCCAGTCAAGCCCGACATCAAGGATAACAAGAATGGGACGTACACAGTGTCTTACACCCCCACAAGACCCCTGAAGCACAACGTTGCCGTCACCTGGGGAGAAGTCAGCATACCCGAAAGTCCATTTAAGGTGAGAGGGAAACTATATGTCTTTGCTTTTATTCAACGAGGAATATGTATTCCAAGTTAAGAGCTGAAACGTCACAGAAAATAACATATTGTAGCTGCAAGCATACACAGGGTTAGTAAAATATAGTGCTGTTCTGTAGGAAATAAGGCCCATTACATCTCATACTTTTGCTAGAGCTCCTAGTATTTTCTTCACTCGAAAATTCCAGGTTCATTGCGCCAGATCCACAAAACCAAACAAATTTCCATTAGATTCCAAAAATGTCCAGCTTATAAGCATGTTTATTTGTCATGTTCTTGTAAATTTACCATTTGGAGGAATTTTTTGACAGGGATCCTCAGTTCTCGGAGTAACACTAGATCTTGTTTCCTTCACAGATCAACATTGGTGGTGGACTGAGCAAGGTCAAAGTTTACGGTCCTGGTGTTGAGCCCAACAAAGTCAAGTCCAAACAGCCAACCCAGTTCACTGTGGACTGCCAAGAGGCTGGCAAAGGTCAGAGTTCACTTAGCGTTGTTACCCAGGATTCATTGCCTTATTTCCTATTTTTTCACTCAAATCTCGCAGATGACATGAAGTACATAGACTTTGGTTTTTTGAATAGCTCTTTTTCACCCTTGACACTAGCATTCGTTCTGACCGACATTTTGACAGTCTGGCATTTCAAAGTACCCCCATCAGCAAATTTCTTGTGAAGAGTTTTCATGTTTTTCATTATTACCAGTCTTCGAGTACTTATCGGTGTAAATTCCTGATAGTTCCTAACTTGTCGTGATCTTGTGATTGGAATCAATAGCCCCAGTTGCTGTCAATGTCAAGTCAGTTCCTGGAGTCAATGGTCCAAGAGAGAAGGAGATTCCCTGCAAAGTCCAGGACAATGGTAACAACACTTTCACTGTCAACTATGCACCAGAGGCACCGGGAGACTACAACGTTGGGGTAAAGTTTGGTGGCAAGGAAGTCCCCCAGAGTCCCATCCCTGTCCGGGTCATCCCCAATGTGGATGTCAGCAAGATCAAGGTCAAGGACCTGGAGCCAAGTAAGTCGATTGATTCTTTTCTGCATGGTAGAGCTAGGATCTTGTTTCTATTTATCTGTTTTTGACATCCCTCAATTTGTTTTCCATGAGCACGCTTGACCTGTGAAAAAGTTGCACCTTGCTGTGAGGGATCCTAAAGACAGCGGCATTGACAAAATTGGAGGGACGCACATTGACTTTTTCTGTTGTAATAGAATACACCGGCAAAAGAGATAGAATAAACAGGCACAAGAGTAGAACGCTGTGGAGTGAGCACTGCTTGAAGTAATACGTGTCTCATAAAAAATTTGTTGCATTCATATTACAGGCTGCCGTGCGTAATTGTCCTCAAGTGATTAGACACACGCTGATGTACCTGTATGCTTTAGAAGGAATGTGCTGTTTGTATAGCATGCCACTAAAACAGGAAAAATTTTGTGCTTGGGATATATTTCATTTTGCTGTCCCCTTATGACTTGCTTGGTATATAGCAAATTTGTCCAGAGATAGTGCTGCCTGCATAATTTTTGAGTTGGGGAAGCAAGACTCTGCGTTTAGACTGAAGAATTTTATGTTAAAATGTTACATCTGAAATGAATTACTAAAGCATCCAGCCATCAAAACAAGAATTCATCCAAGTTATGACACTACATGTACATTGATGCCATATTACAAGCTCCAAGAGATTTTACATGTACAGTGTGTGTGAATTAAACACGAGATTTCTCATGCGGACCCATTCTAACCTCATTCATTGATCAAACCACTGTTGTGAAAGTGTTAGATGTTTATTTTGCAGCAGGTGAAATGTTTGAATTCAGTACATTCCAGTGCATTGGAGGTCTGTGGCATGATTGCGTTTGGGATTTTCACGTTTTCATTGCTGCTGGTTTACAATGTGTATTTGTGGTGTCCCAGCTGTTGTACTCGGGAAACCCTTCACTGTTGAGGTGGATATCAGTGAAGCAGGAATTCCTGAGCTCGCCGTTGATCTGAAGAAACCTTCTGGGGAGGAGGTTGAGGCTGAGGTCACACCGGTCAATGAGACATGCACCCAGGTGACCTTTGTCCCCGAGGAAGAAGGGCCACATGAGCTGAAGATGACCTGTGGTGGGTTTGATGTTAACCAGGAGGCAGTCGTCATCATCAACGTGGTGGTCAAAACAGATCCATCTCAGTGCTCTGCTTCGGGCCCAGGCTTGACTCGCGGTCATGTTAATAAGCCTTCTGAGTTCATGATTGATGTGTCTGATGCTGGTCATGGTGGTCTGAGTGTCACAGTAGAGGGTCCCAGCGAGACAGAGATAGAGTGCAGCGATAACGGTGACGGCACTTGCGCTGTCTTCTATGTCCCATCCAGAATCGGCAGCTACAATGTCAACGTTCTGTTTGCTGACCAGCACATCCCTGGCTCTCCATTCAATGCGCTGGTCATTGATTCCACTGAGGTGGACTCCTGGGGTCCGGGCTTGGTCAAGGGCTACGCTGATCTGCCCTGCACATTCTCCGTGGACTGCAGCACGGCTGGCAAGGCCCCGGAGGAAGAGGGCAAGCTACCCGTAGAGTGTTCAGTTGTTGGTCCGGATGGTGAGGACTTGGACACCAAGGTGGAGCGCGATCCATTGAATGAGGACCTGTACCACTTGACATACTACCCCCTCCAGGAGGGCTCCCACACCTTGCACGTCACCTACGGCCGCTACTCCATCCCTAATTTCTCTCGTCGGGCTGATATCAGAAAGCCCATCGACCTGAGTGGGGTCACCCTCAAGGGAACAGGATTGGATGATGACAAGGGTAATAAATTGGCTCCATGTTGGTCATTGGGCCTTTTGGTCATGCGGTAGTTGTGCCTAACACCACACAACCATGTTGCAATCATAATCACAATTCCATCCAGGTGGCGGGATATTATCAATGGTATCACATTTTTCCCCAACAGCTATATTAAAAATGCACCATAAAGAAGCTTTAGCCTTCCCCATAAACAAAACCTAACATACTCTGAAATATCAGTCCCCGCAGATGAACATTACTTAATCTTCATATCTGCTGTCACAGTACTCATCACTTCTGCTGAAACGAGCACTTCCTTTAGTCATTCACTCTCCTTTCAGAGCAAACTCTGTGCTGGGCTGATGACCAGATTTCACCGTACAAACTTAAAACCAAATGCACATCCCAGGAAGCTACTTGCAGAAGATTTGCATCACACTAACATGGCTCTCCATTTTGCAGCTACCTTTGGGAAAACCAAATACAAAACATTGGCTTTAAGAGACAGACACAAAGCCTTTAATACCGGTACATGTAAATGAGTGCCATGCTGAGTGACAAAAAGCAATCACCAATCATTGCTGCAGTGTGTTGGTGACCTTGTAGTGATGCCATAGCTGTGACTGCACCTGACTTTCACAAATTGTATGTTTTCATGAATAAAATTTGCTGGCTGTTCTGTGAATGTCTTGTTAAAAAAGCTTTCCAGTCAAACATTTCTATCTAGGATTTGGTATAAACTGATCATTACTGTTGAGTATAGCCTTTTTAAGGCTGTGTTTTCATTAATGTGAAATGTTCACAGCAGACTTTAAAACTTCGGTGTTTATTGTTTGAAAAATGTGGCACAAACCATTATATTTTATTTCATTTAAGAAACAGTAACAGTACCATCATACTTTTCATCATCATATTTTATTATATGAAAAAAATTCCACCAGCCTGCACACTTTCAGCTCAGCACATGCTTTTTCAGTAGCCCTATGTCAAAATACAATGTGTGATTTCCTTTTTGTTTGTATAGGATTTCATTTAGAAGGCCAGAAATACAGTTTAGTCACCTTTTAAACGTGATAACATTTTGTCTGCGATGTGACTGTGCAGAAATACCGTACATAAAGCAACATTGCGAGTGGTTGCAATTCCCAAATTTCCCTCATTTCTTTCAGATGAAGCAACTAAAGTCGAGCTTCATATTAGACCTCTTCCAAGTGTGGTTTATGCTGTTTTCATTAAGACCCGAAACCTGCAAGTGGATTTCACACTCAGCACTGTTCAATACACATTTCTGTTTTCTATAATTTACCCTTTGTCATCATTTTGTTCCAATTTCTTGTCATTTTCTGTCTTTCTATTTAACTTTCGTTTCCGTAGTCTGTGTGGTTTACCTGTTCATGCTATTTTTAATGTGTGGCTAAATTGATGAGCTATGATTTAAAGTCGACTTTGGGTGTTCTTATATATGTGTCATTATGCTCAGTGAGTTCCAACCTCATTGGCTTTAGTTTTGAACTTGGATAGCTACATGTAGATAGTAAACTAACAATTCATTGGTGTGAAATACCCACAAAAATTAAGGTGCTTAATGCAGAAATTTGCTTGAAAATTTTTCTACTGTTTGATTAGCATGCACAGAGAATTCATACGCAGCAAAATTTGCCTGGAGCAGATATCACCAGTACATAAAAGTAGCATTGAAGTTTAAATCTTGCTTCTCTTGCATCTTTCTGAGAATTGGTGTGGAGATTGAATCCTTTAAAATTCACCGTGCACCCGCTGCAGATGTAGTTTGTTACAGAGAAATGCATATTTTCCTAAAGAAATGTTTGTATTGTAGCAATGAATTTCAGTCCAGAAATAATGTGCTGAATTAGCTACCTTTTAAAGTGTTGGGCAATGGACATGCCTGATTTCGTAGCTTTTAATACATGTAGCTTGTATATTAAACACTTCAAAACATCATTTCCTGTTATAGCTTGTCTTCAATAGATTTCAGCAGAATTTTGTCTTAAATGTGGTGAGACCTCTCTTCCTTACCTGAAAACAAAGATAGAAATAACAATCAAAGTGGATGAAATTGATGAGTGTTTTTAAGTGCTTTGGGTTTTTCACAAGTGCGAGGCAAACTAACAATCTAATTTTCAGCCATTAAGAAATAAAAAAAGTTGTTCACATACTCTTTTTAACAATCACTGGGTTTTGGGGTTTCTTTAGGGAGATTTTGGGGGGATTTCATCTTCTCAGGAAGATGAAATCTCAGGATTGTGAAGATCATGAGCTGTACTGAAAAAGAAAATAGTAGAGTCGCTTGGGACTTTAGTTTGTACATGTACCAATATACATGTATTGCAGTGGAAATTCAGAGAAACTGAACTGGTTAAGGGTACCATTTGGTCTATATCCCTTCTTTTTGTACAGTCTTTTTGTCTATTCTGGTCTTGAAGACTTTCTTCCAAATGAAATGGCAGTGAATCGTCTAGTTCCTTGAGTTGCATTTTTAAAATACTTTTTACTTTGTCTTTTACAGTCGTATTCTGCGACTGTCCTGCTGAGTTTCAGGTTGACGCCAAACCAGTCAATCAGCCCCTCGATAAGGACCTCTTGAAACCAGATATCACTGCCCCTTCTGGCCAGAAGGTGAAACCCGTCATCAAGGACAACAAGGATAACACCTACGATGTTAGCTATACTCCAACAGAAAAGGGTGAGGCCATTGCTCAGAGGTTTTTCCCTTCTTCGTATTCCCTCGCTAGGTCACGTTCAAAAAGCAGTTTTTTCTATGAGTTTGTCTTTAATGTGACAAACAACCTTTGCTAAATATGCAAGCTTTGAACAGCTTTGTTCTAATGACCTAAATGTCTCCTTTGAAGAGCTCATTACATTGAGAAAAAACCAGATACATGTTTACTTTGTGCTTATTGTGCCAGTGCAGGAAACTTGCCCTTGACATTTTTAGTACATGTAGATAGTGGAATACTTCTGTTGCTAGGGGCCTTTCTGAGTGTACAGTTGTCATACAACCATACATGCATCTATTGTGCACTGTTGAAAGTACTTAGAAGTTCAATACATGTAGGTTATGGTGAAGCATCACAACAAAGTTTGGTATTTTGTTTACCGTTGCATATATTTCTTCTGTTTTTGCTGCATGCAGGTGTTTTTTATAATCCCTGACACAAAAATTCAACCCCCAAATCCACAAGTTTTGTCATTCTAACTGCTATTTCATACTCAAGGCGGATGTGAGAGTGAAGCGAATTTTATCTGGCAAACATTGTTTTTGCTGGAGTTGGAAAAGCTTCAACTATCATGAATTCACAGTGTCATGTTTGTTTTGACTTTCAAACCAAGTATGAACCAGCCTTTATATGTATTGAAAGATTATTTTCACAGTTTAACTTGCATCTTTCTAATCCACATTTCCACTGTTAGGTGAGCACACTGTCGACGTAAGCTTTGCCGGCCAGCCGCTGGGCAAGTCCCCTTACACTGTGGGTGCCCTGCCCGGCCACGATGCCTCGCGCTGCAAGGCCTATGGCCCCGGCCTGGAAAGAGCCGTCACCAACAAGCCAGCCGTCTTCACTGTGGAGACTAAAGGGGCTGGCAAAGGGGGGCTGGGCCTGGCCATTGAAGGGCCCTCGGAGGCAGCCATGGAGTGCACTGACAATAAAGATGGCAGCTGCACTGTGCAGTATTTGCCCACTGTGCCAGGCGACTATGAGGTTCACATCACCTTCGCTGATGATCCCATCCCAGGTACGGTGTACAAATATGACATTGTTTGCAGGTGGATAGTTGATTTTAGCTCCCTAAGGTATTTGACGTTTATAGACTAGTTCCCAAGCAAAGCTTTACAATACCTCATAATCGTATTTGTTTGTCATTGTAACTTCAGGTGTCATTTAAAAACAATCAAGATGTATGTTTTTCCGATGTAGCTTAGGTAATGCTCACACATGTGTACTTCACCTGGAAGACATTTCCAGTCAACTTTCTATGAGGAACAGTGTAGTGTGGTAGCATATTTGACTTGTTCATGGATCCTTGTGTGTGTGCCTAGTTAACCACCAATAATGACTGTCACTTGAATGGAATAGTGAGATTTCCGCTCTCGACCATGGATATGTATGAGATATGGTAATGTCAAATGTGGTCCCTGAGGTGGCTTGTTAGTGCTAGATTTCAAAGCAAAACTATGCAGTAGTGACTTACTTAATCCATTAACTGTGCTGTCATGGCTGTACACCCTGTTCATGAGAGCCATGGAAGGAACAATACACCTTTGCTTTGTTTGCAATATGTGCTGAAGATTCCAGCTTGAAGTGTTTGGAGACCTGAACCCAATTTCATGGCGCTGCTAACCACAGACGGTTACATTTATAGTAAGCATTTTGTGCTTACAGTACTTTGTGAGAAATTCAAATCCAGGATGTAGGATTCATGCTAACCTGTGATATGCACTGATGGTAAGTGCAGAATTTTCTGCTGTGTTTAGCAAAGAATTTTTTTTCTTATGGTAAGCAATGCCATGAATTGGGCCTTGCTCCAGCTCCTCACTCATTTCAGCCACATGGATACTAAGCCCTATCTTGCGTTTACAGGCAGTCCATTCAGACCTGTGGTCACCGATCACATTGACGCCAGCAAGGTCACCGCATCTGGCCCCGGACTGGACCGCAACGGAGTCCGCGCCAACGTGCCAACAGGCTTCAAGGTGGACGCTACCAAGGCTGGCGGCAAGGCTCCCCTTGATGTCACCATCATGCCTGAGAGAGGTAAATGGCTATTGATAATGAATGACTTCCCCAGTACTCCCAGTACCACCCCATGTATATATGAGAGTATGTTATGTGATTCACTTTGGGCCTGTTTGTTTCACATGGATACGGATCTAAATCAGTACTATGTCATTGGTTCACTGACACCAGAACCTGCCTAATGGATGGAGTTAACCAGCGTTGGGATCACTGATCGAGATCAAGGTCTGTGTGAAACAAACAGACCCTTTGAGCTGACAGTAAATGTGCCATGTTCGATAAATAACGGTTACTGTGGTCACTTGTCAGTATATGGTTGGGTTGAATACTGTATGATTTCTGTGATCTGATTTCAGTGTTAGTCATTATTTGTGGCTTGTTGTGTTGGGGAGGAGTCCTTGTTGTGCCGAATTGAATAGCACTATTTTTCACTTTGCAAAAACTGGTCTGAGGGAGTTTTAATTCATAGTTCACTTTAAAAATGCACTATTATAATTAGTAGTAGTATTAGGTGCAACTATTCTGGTGCTGAACCATTCATTTTCATACATCTCCTTGGATAAAATGTTGATGTGCACTCCCTAATTGTTCCAGCTCCAATTGAGAAGGCCAAGGTAGTTGACAACAAAGATGGCACCTATGATGTCAGCTATGTGCCCAAATCTGAAGGCAAAATGCAGGTGGACGTCACGTATGGAGGAAGGCAGATCCCACAGAGGTTGGTAAAGAAACTAGATCAACTTGCAGATAGCGTCACATTCTCAAGTATTTATATTTGATATGTTAAACTGTGGCTGGCACAATGATTCCACTGTAGTTGAGGTTCCGATGTAATTGAGGTTCCAACAGATATCGTAATCAGTCACTAGGTTTATATTTACACAAATGAAAGTTTAAAGTTAAAACTGTCTCGCAAGACTCTCCTATCTTGAACTTGTTCAAATAATCATCAAGCTTAGACTTTAATAAGGTGTATGTAGTTCTTTGAAAGATGGAGGCATCATGGAATGAAAAGAAACTGAAGTAAAATGCAGTGGGCCTGTCTGGTCCTGAATGAGGCCGTAGCAAGTGATAGGGTTGTTACATCTTCAGGTCAGAAGCCATTGTAGTTCTAACGTCCATATGTGTGTTCACATAAGAGACTTTGGTCTGTTGCCTGTCATGCCACCTTGAAGCACTTTAATTCACAGCCATTTTCCAATCAAGGAGTGCAGCCTCACAGCAGCCCTCTGTTGTGGAAACAAAATGGCACCATTCACCATGTCATGCATGACCTCGTTCTGGCCGTGTTTGTTTCACATGGATCTGGATCACGTTCAGTGATCAGCATTGGTTTACAATCAGCGTTGGTGTACAGACACCAAAACTTGCCTAATGGATGGTGCAAACCAGTGTACGGATCACTGATCGCGATCCAGATCCTTGTGAAACAAACAGGCCCTATGTATGTGGCTCTGGTAGTAGGGAAGCATTTTAGCAGTCGTAACCAACAATTGTATTGACTGTTTCTTTTTGGATAAATGTTTTGGGGATAATACAGCATTATCAGACATGATACTTGCAGTTGTTTGAATAGCCAAAGCAATTCACTGCAGAAGAAAAAAATATCATTTTGTGTTACTTTGATAGCAATACTTACACCATTCCCAAATCTTTAACGCAGACAAAAAAATAGCAGAAATATTCAAGTTACCCACCCAGGGCAAAGAACTTTTGTTGACCATTTCTCCGTGGCAAACTCTTGGTGGCGCACTTCATCGTGAATCACCCGTATTAACTCTCATCGGATGATTTTTGTCACATCAGCTGATCAAATGTACTCAGGTAGATCTACACGTGGTTGTATGATCTGTGTCTGTGAAGTTTTGGGGTTATTCTTCTTTTGCAATGCATTACCCCCACAGTCCCATCCACTCCAAAGTTCTGCCTCAGTACGATGCCAGCAAAGTCAAGGTGAAGGGGCCAGGTGTAGAGAAGGGTGTACTGGCCAGCTTGCCAGTGGAATTCACCGTGGACACCAGGGATGCCGGAGATGCTGACCTGGAAATCACCATCACTGTATGAGCTTTTTTCTGTCAGTTTATGGATACGAATTTGTATACAAACTCTCTGGATACCAGACTTTTCCAGTCTTATAGTCAAGCACTCAATTAAGTACTTCTCAAGTACCCATAATTGGACTTGATACAAGTGCCTCTTGTACTTACTGTATTAAAGGAAACATTGGAATGTGTACTCAAACTTTCTGGGCTGTTTTGCAAGGAAACATTCTGAATCCGCCAAAATCAGTCAGTGCTGCCATTGGTGGATTCTTTGTTTTTAGAGCTTGAAAGAGTCATCCAAGTTCCCAAATATATTGATTAAATGTAGGTTCTTAAATCTTGCAAAGTCCTGCAAAACCTGATGGAGGATTACAGAGGCTGTCAGGATTATTATGAATTGACATGGCAGGAGTCTGAAATGACTGCTTGAATGCCAGATGCTTATCACGGGACGACACATAAAATGTCCGTCTGATGAGTTCCAGAATCTACACTGCAACTGCAGATGATACATTGTGATCTACTTACAAGAGCCATTAACCACTTCGTGCCGGGGCATTTTTCAATGTTGATGATGCTGGGCCAGCATGACTATCATTTTTTCCGTTTTCAAAATCCTTCAAAAATTCATCATTC